TAGGACACCTAGCACACAAAGTCACTCTATCAACACAGGGAAGCAGCCAAAATGCAGAGACAAAGAAACATGTCACAAACTAAAGAAATGGAGGAAAGCAAACTACTGGATATAGAGTTCAAAACTACAGTTATAAGGTTACTCAAGAATCTTCTAGAAACCTCCAAGAAATTTAGTGAGACTCTCAAGGATATGAAAAACGACCAATTAGAAATTAAGCATACACTTACTGAAATAAAGAATAATATACAGAGATCCAACAGCAGACTAGAGCAGAGGTCGGCAAACTGCGGCTCGCGAGCCACATGCGGCTCTTTGGCCCCTTGAGTGTGGCCACGAAGTTTCAATCGCACTGGACGTGCGCACCCGCAAGTGGTATTTTGTGGAAGAGCCACACTCAAGGGGCCACAGTTTGCCGACCACTGGACTAGAGGATTCCAAGAATCAAGTCAAAGATTTGAAATACGAAGAAGCAAAAAACACCCACTGGAAAAGCAAAAGGAAAAAAGAATACAAAAATATGAAGATAGTGCAAGGAGCCTCTGGGACACTTCAAGCGTACCAACATCCGAATTATAGGGGTGCCCGAAGAAGAGAGAGAGCAAGATATTGAAACCTATTTGAAGAAATAATGACAGAAAACTTCCCCTACCTGGTGAAAGAAATAGACTTACAAGTCTAGGAAGTGCAAAGAACCCCAAATAAGAGGAATCCAAAGAGGACCACAGCAAGACACATCATAATTAAAATGCCAAGGGCAAAAGATAAAGAGAGAATCTTAAAAGCAGCAAGAGAAAAACAGTTAGTTACCTACAAGGGAGTACCCATATGACTGTCAGCTGATTTCTCAACAGAAACCATGCAGGCCAGAAGGGATTGGCAAGAAATATTCAAAGTGATGAATAGCAAGAACCTACAACCAAGATTACTCTACCCAGCAAAGCTATCATTTAGAATTGAAGGTCAGATAAAGAACTTCACAGATAAGAAAAAGCTAAAGGAGTTCATCACCACCAAACAAGTATTTTATGAAATGCTGAAGGGTATTCTTTAAGAAAGGGAAGAAAGCCCTAACCAGTTTGGCTCAGTGGATAGAGCATCAGCCTGCGGACTCAAGAGTCCCAGGTTTGATTCCAGTCAAGGGCATGTACCTTGGTTGCGGGCACATCCCCGGTGGGGAGTGTGCAGGAGGCAGCTGATCGATGTTTCTCTCTCATCAATGTTTCTAACTATCTATCCCTCTCCCTTCCTCTCTGTAAAAAATCAATAAAATATATTTTTAAAAAAAGAAAGGGAAGAAGAAGAAAAAGGTAAAGATAAAAATTATGAACGACAAAGTGACAACAAATACATATCTGTCAACAAGTGAATCTAAAAATCAAGTGAATAAAAAATCTGATGAACAGAATAAACTGGTGAATATAATAGAATCAGGGGTATAGAAAGGGAGTGGACTGACAATTCTTGGGGGGAAGAGGGTGTGGGGGGAGGGAAGAGACTGGACAAAAATCGTACACCTATGGACAAGGACGGGGGGGTAAGGGCATGGGGTGGGGTAGGAACCGGGTGGAAGGGAGCTATGGGGGGGAAAAGAGGAACAACTGTAATAATCTGAACAATAAAGATTTATTAATTAAAAATGTTTATTTTATTTATTTACTTACTTATTTGATACTAGAGGCCCAGTGCACAGATTCGTGCACTGGGGGGGTCCCTTGGCCTGGCCTGCGCCCTCTCAAAATCCGGGACCCCTCAGGGATGTTGGACTGCCAGTTTTGGCCCGATCCCTGCAGACCAGGCCGAGGGACCCCACCAGTGCACGAATCTGTGCGGGGTCTGATGGATTAAAAACTTTGGGGATATTTTCTTGGTTTTCCCTCTTTCTTTTTCTTTTTAGAATTTAACAAACTGTTTTCAATGTTTTCATGCCTGTTCATTGGACCATCTTCCCCCCCTGGGGGCCAGGGGTGCATCATAGCCTACAGGTGGAATGGGCCAAATGGTCAACTTAAGGCTTTTTATATTTTATTCTAAAAGGGCCCGGGGGGACAAAAAAATTTTTGTCCTTTGGGGGGGGGGGGGGGGCCCCCTGACCCGCCCGTGGTCCCCTTTTGGGGGGGGGGCCCACCAGCAGGGGGGCAACCCCCTGGCTTAGGAACGCTCCCCTCCCGGGTGGGCCTAAGAAGGAAATCAAAAATACCTCTTGCCACCTGGCAGCCCTCGGGGGAGGGCAACTTTCCCTGTGGGGAGGAGGGCTAAACTGCAGATGGACATTCTTTAGCGCTGCTGAGGAGGCAGGAGAGGCTCCCACCACCACTGCTGTACTGGCAGCCATCAGCCTGGCTTGTGGCTGAGCAGAGGCTCCCCCTGTGGGAGGTGCACTGACCACCAGGGGACAGCTCCTGCATTGAGCATCTGTCCCCTGGTGGTCAGTGTGTGTCATAGTGACCAGTCATTCCCAGTCGTTCTGCTGTTAGGGTCAATTTGCATATTACCCTTTTATTATATAGGTAATAAGGCCTGGTGCACAGGTGGGGGCCGGCTGGTTTGCCTGAAGGGTGTCCAGGATCAGGGTGGGGGTCCCGCTTGGGTGCTTGGCCAGCCTGGATGAGGGGATGATGGCTGTTTGCAGCTGGTTACACCCCCTTCAGGGTAGGGGTCCCCACTGGGGTGCCTGGCCAGTCTGGGTGAGGGGCTGAGGGCAGTTTTCAGGCTGGCAGGTGACTGAAGCTCCCAACCTCTCCTTTTTTTCTTTTTTTTTTTATTCTGGGATTTATTTACCTTCTATGGCTATCACTGGAGCTGAGAGTCGGCTTTAGCTCTGAGGCTCGGCTCCAGCTCTGAGACCTCGGCTGCTGAAAGCGGGTATTTGGGTTTATTTGGCTTCTATAATTGAAATACTGTTGCAGCTCCTGCTCCGAGGCTGGCTGGCTGAAAGCAGGTTTCTGGGGTTTGTTTACCTTCTATAATTGCAACATTGTTTCTTAGAGTGCAGCTCAGAGGCCGGCAGCGGCAGGCGGGGAACGTTGGCTTCCTCCATCACTGGAGCAAGCAAGCCTCCTGTTTGCTTCAGCTGCCTGGCTGCTGGCTGCCATCTTGGTTGGCAGTTAATTTGCATACCTTGATGATTAGCCAATGGGAAGGGTAGCGAAGTTACGGTTAATTACCATGTTTCTCTATTATTAGATAGGATATATATAGAGAGAGATGTTTTTATTAATTTTTTAGGGGGAGGAGAAGGGAGAGCAATAGAGAGATAGAAATATCGATGAGAGAGCAACATCATTGATCTGTTTCCTCCTGCATTCCCCCCACAGGAGATTGAGCCCACAACCTGGGTATATGTCCTGACTGGGAATTGAACCTGTGGCCTCTTGGTTCCTGGGTTGATGCTCAACTGCTGAGCTACACCACCAGGCAATATGTTTATTTTAATTGATTTTGAGAGCAAGGGAGAGGAATAGAGAGAAACATCGATGAGAGAGAAACATCAACCAGCTGCCTTCTACATGCCCCCTACTGGGGATTGAGCCTGCAACCTGGGAATGTGCCCTGTCCAGGAACCAAACCTCTTGGTTCATGGGTTGACACTCAACCACTGGGCCATACCCACTGGGCATACTTTGTAGTATTCTTATTTGTGTATGATTCATCTTCCCAAGTAAACAATGAGCTCCTCAAGAAGCATGTCTTAATCATTTTGTATCTACAAAAGTACACAGTATAAAACCTTGTATATGGAAGTTACTGGTAAACATATACTGAATGAATAGAAAATAAACTGATAGTCAGAGACTTAGTGAAAATTTAGGATTTGCTTTTGTTTTTTGTCTTCCCAAGATCTGAAACCTCTTCCTTTGTGTGAATCTTAATGGGAGACAGGGTTCCACAATCCACAAGAAAAGCCAAAGACGCCTTAACCGGTTTGGCTCAGTGGATAGAGCATCAGCCTGCAGACTGAAGGGTCCCGGGTTCGATTCCGGTCAAGGGCATGTACCTTGGTTGCAGGCACATCCCCAGTTGGGGGTGTGCAGGAGGCAGCTGATCAATGTTTCTCTCTCATCGATGTTTCTAACTCTCTATCTCTCTCCCTTCCTCTCTGTAAAAAAAAAAATAAATCAATAAAATATATTAAAAAAAAAAAAAGAAAAGCCAAAGATACCTGAAGTTTCCCTCCCACTCTCCTTGCAGCAAAGGCAAATGGCTTGGCCATTTGAATCCTCCCACCAGGACTCTGAGTCTTAAACAAAGAGTGTAAAGATACTAGAACAGAGTAGAATTCATTTGAGATGGCAGCCTACAGTGGTGATTGAGGTATAGTTCCAGCTGTGGTATCCTTCCCTAGACCATTCCTATGTTGTGACTTTGGCTGTGATCCCTGGTTTTATTTTCTGAGTTTGATTAGCTGGCCTTCCCATCAATTCTGAGGATTTCAAATATTTATTTCCCCTTTAGTTGGCAGAGTTGGTTTCTGTTGCTTGCAACTACAAATCTTAGCATAACTTTAAGTTATGGGTTTAGAGAGATGGCAAAAGCACAGGTCTTTCACTTTTTTCTTTGTGAATTTCTGTATTGGTACTGTTGTGGTATTACTTCTGTCATTTAAAAATATGCTTTTAAAATCAATAACCCAAAGCACAGTTGGGCAAAAAGAACTACTAAGAAATAAAATTTGAAAATTAGGATGGAACCAGATTGCACAAATTCTTAAATATCATTTTGAAGATTCTGAATTTAGCTCAATAAATGTGGGAAATTTATAAAACAGAATAATGAGCCCAGCTGGCATGGCTCAGTGGTTGAGCATTGACCTACGAACCAGGAGGTCACGGTTCAATTCCTAGTCAGGGTACATGCCTAAGTTGCGGGCTTGATCCCCAATAGGGGATGTGCAGGAGGCAGCCACAATGATTCTCTTTCATCATTGATGTTTCTGTCCCTCTCTCTGATATCAATATAAATAAATAAATAAATAAATAAATAAATAAATAAAACAATAATATGATCAAATCAATGGTTTTTTATTGTTATATAGAAGGTGAAACAGAACTCAGAGAAATTAGAGACCAGGAGAACAATTAGGAGGAGGCTATTGCCATGGTCCAGACAAAATATTGAGAACATTTCTCAGTTTGTAGACAGAGTGAGGTTGTCAATCACAGGTTGGGTGTTTTGGAGGCAGATGCTGAGATAGAGTTTGAGGTGCAAGATATTAACTAGGGGGAGGAAGCAGGATTGAATAGAGGGAAAAGTTAAACTGCAATATAGATCAGACATAGACCCAGTCAACTTGACAAGGAGCTCTGGAGTGACTATGGCTCATCAGAATTGTCCTGCAGTAGGCCAGAACGGCTGCACCTTTACATCCCTGCTTTGCTCAGTCAACAAATGAGGATGGCCCTTGTGTAGGACTGTTCTCTGTAGGTGAGGCATACCCTGAAGGAACTGAAACAGCAAGAAGCTATCTCCCTGTAACTGAACAGCAAGTTCCTTGAAGGTAGAACTGGGTGGCACACTTCCATGCCTACCACAAAGAAAGAGATGAATTATAATACCTGAAACAAAAGCAATGGAGTGGAAAGGAGGGAATGGATTCTACAGATATTGTATTTTGTAGGTGGGGGATGAAGAGGGAGTAAACATAAGTTAACTCTGAGTCTTTACATTGATATGATTTGATGGTAATTCTGTTTAATTGATAGTAAACCACAGGAGAAAAAGAATAGGTTTGGGGAGAAATATGTTTATTTTGAATATGCTGACTCTAAAATGTCTACAGAATATTATGGTAGAGATGATTTTCAAGAATGAATGCATTTGGGGATGGTCTGGAGATCAACAACAAGTGCTATACAGGGTGGGGCAAAATTAGGTTTACAATTGTTCATATGAAAAATAATACAATAATTAATAAATAATAATATAAGAATAAACTCTGCTTTACATACTCATAATTGTAAACTTACTTTTGCCCCACCCTGTATTTGAGTATACATATATCATATATATTCTTATTTAATATGCATAATGCCTCTATGAAGTAGGTATCTTTATTATACCCTTTTTGTATATTTTATCATACCTTTTGTTTATGAAGAAATTGAGACTTTAAGAAGTTAAAATGCCTGGTGAAAGAAGTAAAACTCAAGTCTGTCTGATGACAAAACACATGCTCTCAGAAACAAGATTATATTGCTTCCCCATAGAAATCACCACAGATAGATGGTATTTGAAGCCATGCAAGTTAATAGGTTGCCCAGAAAGATACAGTTTAAAGGGAAACACAAGGAGCCCAAAAATGGAATTCTAAGGGAGCTAAAATTTCCAAGATAAATGGAGTAAGATGGTATAGGCAAAGGGATTGAACAGTTTTTAAAAATTAGAAGTATGGTATTTCAGAAGTTGGGGTAAAAATAGCTCTAGTCCACAAAGTGAAATGTACAGATATCATGGAGGATGCAGTTTCCACAATTAGAGGTCATTGATGAGTTTGGAGCAGTTTATTGAGATGTCAGACTGCAATGGCTGAAGAGCGCATCTATAATAATAAAAGTGTAATATGCAAATTGACCAAACGGCCGAACAGTGGAACGACCGTCCGGACGACTGTCTGGATTACCTTCCGGACAAAGCCGGGGCTGCGAGGGCTGAGGCAGCCGGGCCTGCGAAGGCCTACTCTTGCATGAACTTCATGTATTGGGCCTCTAGTAGGAGATAAGGACATAGAAGCAAGGGATATAGGGTACTTTTCTAGAAAATTTTCAAAGTAGAGGAAATAATAATGCCTTATACATAAATAAGGAATTTATTACTATTATTGACTGATTATTTAGTAACTCCTTGTTCCCATATTACTTGGATTTTACACTCCTACCATTTCTCTTGTTATTTCTTTCTACCTCCTTCATAGCATTGTCTCTTCCTATGGCTGACACAGCTGCAGGCATTGAATGTTATTTATTTTGGTTTTGTGATGACTTGTTTTACTTGGTTATGTGATTCTGTCTGTCTTTGGAGGATGGGCCATAGACCCCACCATCACCACCACAACTCCATCATCTGTTTTTCACAAAGATAGACAAGCATTCACTTCTCAAACCAATGCAATGAAGCATGCAAGTTCTTAGTTTCCTAGTCAACCAAGTACTCCGTCTATCTAGCCTTCTCCCCTTCCCTCGCCCCAACTCTTGGTGGGCAGATCTGGAAGAAGAAAGCCGGTACTCCAAACATGGGATATCATGTCCCAAATGGGGAATATGTTTGGCTTTTCAGTGAGCTGAGGTTTTTCTTTGTCAGCCCCCATCAGTCCAGCCCTTCTCCAGAGCGGACTGGAGAGTAATTAACACAGCCGTCCACCTGTGCACAGGAAGATGCCTCCAGCCACACCACCGATGATGAAAGTGCCCAGCAGGATGCCCAGGACCAGCGAAGTGTAGGAGCGGCTTGTTTGGCTCCCTGGAGAACATGCAGAAAGTTAGCCTTAAGAACATACCCCCAAGGAATCTATGGTTTGAATCAAACCCCAAGGGATTTCTGCCCCAAAGGTAGGGGACTAGTGCACCAAGTGACTTAAGCTGTGTGACTCTGTCCCAAACTCCCAGCCCTGGGAGTCCTGTTGCTCAAGGTCTCCATCCTTCAGGTCCATCCATTTGCCTGGAACCTACCCAACATACAGGCCCATGGCCAATCCCACCGTACCTTTCAAGGTTTTCGTGGTGAGGTGTTCTTTCACGTACTGCACACAGGTGTTCTGCAGGAAATCCTGCAGGTCATACCGAGTACGATTGTAGGCGTTGAGCTGACGCAGGGTGTAGGTGACCACTGTAGAGCTGACCTGGGACCCTGCCACCCATAAGGCAGCTTCTGGCTGGAAACTCACAAAAGAGCTCCCATTCACAGCCACTTCAAAGAAGGTACGGGCCCTAGAGCCCTCAGGAGGCAGCTCACAGCCCAGGAAGCAGCGAACGGTCAGAGGAACTGTGGAGGGGGATTCAGGGTCAAGGGGATGTGTGGAGAGGGTGCCAGGTGTAGGGATGTTCACCTGGGGGAAGTGAACTTTAGGGTTTCAGGGTGGGTCTACCTCAAGATCATGCCAGCAGGAGGAAGGCCTGACAGAAGGCTCGGACTCCTCTCCAGCCTCAAGCTCTTACCCAGCAATCAGTAAATGCCGGTGCCAGGGCACCACTGGGCTCCTGAGAGCCTCCCGTCCCCACAGGACCACGCCCATGTGTGCCAGGTCCATCCACAAGACCCCTCTGGGAACCCACAGGTCCCCTCCCCAGGCCACGCCCCCCAAGCGTGACCCACTCACAGGCCACGCCCCGCTCCTGGTGTACTAGCTGCACTATGCCTTGGAAGTTGCTCAGGTAGAGCCGCACGCTTCCCTCTGTGTGCGCCCAGCTCTGGGGCTCCTGCAAGGGGTGCAGCTGAAGAATCGTGATGTTGGAGTCCTGGCCTTCCAGCAAGTGCGTCAGCTGCCCCCCCAGCGACGCGTTGCCTTGGTACAACACTTGACCAGGGTGTGGGAAGTAGGAGATCTGGAGCATGTGGAGGTTCTGAGCACCTGGGGGCGGAAGTCAGTGCGTTGGTCCCTGGCTGGCCTGAGAGGGGCTGGCGTGGAATGGGTCGGCGAGTAGCCGGAGTTAATAACCCCGTCTCCAGAAGCCGGCCGCCCACCTTCTCGGCCCTTCATAAACTACAAAGTGTCCGCCCACCCTTCCTCCCATTTAATGCTCACAGTAACCCTGCCAGGAGGGGAGGACAGGGATTATTATCTTCATTTTACAGAAGAGGAAACTGAGGCCAGAAGAGGAGAAGCCACTTGCCTGAGGGTAAGCCAGGCAGTCAGTGGAAGACCCACTCTGATCTCCCTTCTCTCTCTCACCCCCGCCCCCTCATTTCCAGCTGGTCAACAATTCCTGACCTACAATAAGAACCCCGATTCTGTCCCCTCTGCCACTGCCCTACTTCAGGCCTCATTGGTTCTCATCGGGACTGGGGTAGTAACTTCTTTCCTCATGCCCCTGCCCCTCATTTTTCAGTTTCATCCCTCTTAATCTGATCTCCACCTGACCCGGAAATAAGATTATGTCCTTCTGCTTAAAATCCTCCAGTGAAGCCCAACCTGGTTTGGCTCAGTGGATAGAGCGTCATCCCGCGGACTGAGGGTCCTAGGTTCGATTCCTGTCAGGGGCATGTACCTCGTTGCAGGCTCAATACCCAGCCCTGGTCAGGAAGCATGCGGGAGGCACCCAATTGCTGTGTCTCGCTCACATCGATGTTTCTCTCTCTCTGTCTCTCCCCCTCCCTTCCACTCTCTCTAAAAAAAAGCAATGGAAAAAACATCCTCAGGTGAGGATTAACAAAAAAATAAAAAAATGTAAAGTCCTCCAGGGACACACTCCCCTATCAATAACAACAACTACGGCCCACGGGCCACATGCAAATATAAATATTGTATTTGTTCCCGTTTTGTTTTTTTACTTCAAAATAAGATATGTGCAGTGTGCATAGGAATTTGTTCATAGTTTTTTTTTAAACTATAGTCCGGCCCTCCAACGGTCTGAGGGACAGTGAACTGGCCCCCTGTTTAAAAAGTTTGAGGACCCCTGAACAACAACAACAATAATAATAGCTATTGGGCTTATAATGACCTGGGCACTGTACACACATTATTATGTTATTTGTGCCTTCCTTCCTTTAACTTAATACAGGAGCTACTATTATTAACCCCAGTCCATACGGGAAACAGGCTAAAATGGTATAACAGAGCCAAGATTTGAATGCAAGCAGTCTGCGTCTAGCATTCTTCGTCAGCCAGCTATACTGACTCCTTATAGGATATCTGTCCACAGAATCAAGTCCAAAGTCTTTAGCAAGGATTTTAAGGGGACCAGGCCCCTGCTGCCTTTTTCAGTCTCTGCCCAGTGCTTGGCTGAATCAAACTCCTCATGCTGCCTTTTGACTGACATGTAAATAACATGTCCGGGTTGCTCTGCTTCCTGGCAAACTTCTATTCATGCTTCAAGACCCAACATGGTTGTTCTCTCCTTGGAGGAGTTTTCCTGATGCCTCTTCTCTTTATCCTTCCAGACAGTGGACCGGTTTCAATGACCCGAGATTCCACATACCTGTCTGTAAACACACAGGCTACCATGGGCTCCTCTAGGCTACAGGTTCATATGGTTATCTCTACCTCCTACGCCTAGTAGGGGCCTGGCACAGATTTGGTGCCTAGAAAATGTCTGAGGAGGGAATGAGTCTGGGGTTGCAAATCTGTGCTGTGACCACGTTTGCATTTGAGAAGTGCTCTGTGTCTGCAGGTGTGAATAAGTACATCTGTGTGGATAACCTTAGACAGGTTCTTCACTGCTGTGTGCCCCCGTCTCCTCCTCTGTGAAATGGAGATATTACATCCCTTGTAGAGAGTTTGTGGGGGTTAAATGAGGCAACACATGCTTTAACCATAGTGAACACTCATTGAATTCTGGTTATTATTCACTCCCTCTCAGAAGGGGAGACTAAAGCTATAGAGATTGTGGGAGAAAGAAGAGGCCCTGTGCAATTGCAATGAAGGGCAATCACCCCCCTTCTGTGCTTCCCTCACTTCAGGCAGCTGATCTCCTGAGTTCTCCCGCTGACAACAGCTTCTTTTTCCCCAGCTTCACCTCACCCACTGTCCCCAGTTTTCCTCCACCTTCTCTATTCTCCTTTTCTGCCTCACATACCTCAGCCCCAATCTTTCCCCAAGTATTCCCTCAGTTCTCCGTGTCCTCCAATTCCTTTCATTTCTCATCTCATCTCTGGGTGTCTTCCCATCGTCCCTAGATTCACCCCCATCCACCATCACCCTCAGCTCTCCTTCTCCAGATTTTACTCCATCCCCTCTCCCTGAGGCTAATTCCCTCAACGCTTCTACCAGTCCCTTTCCCATCTTTCCGGTGTTGTCCACCCCCACCACCAGCCTGCTCCGTCTTCCCCTCTCTCACCTGGCTTTGGAACACACACCAGTCCCCGGAGCCCTGCCTGCCCTATAGAGAGACCCAGCAGGCCACAATACAGACACGGTGAATAAGCTCTCCTCTGGTCTAGCCCACATACCCGAAGAGCCATCCTGAGGCAGGAGATGTGACCTCCCTTCCCCTCCACCTCGGCCCCCACTCACCATCGGAAGTTTCCTGGATACAAAGGGCCCTGCCGGGCAGAATCAGTAGAAGCAGCAGTGGCAGCAATGTTCTCAACATCCTGGGACCTTGATCCCACCTGTACTCCTGGCTTTGGCAGGCTGGGGGCTCCCACTGACTGCAGCCTGGGGGAGTGAGGACCGCCTGGGAGGGGAGAAAGCTGAACGGAGGAGCTGGGAGGTGACCAGGGGGTGGGAGGAGGAAGAGGGCGTCAGGCCTTTAAAGTGTTATTCCAACCCCGGCTCATTTCCTACTAGGGGGCCGGCCTCCTCTTGCCCGCCCCCGGCCCCGCCCTGCATCGGATTCTCCTGCTCAGACCTGCCTTTTCCCTTTTCCCTAAACCGCTTCTGAGGAACAGGGAGAGGCGGAAAAGGGGGAGCAGGGGCTTCCAGAAGTCCTGCCCTCGCTGAGTCAGGGGGTGGGGCATCTGTTTTCAATCAACTTAGAGCAGACTCTAGGGTGTAGGGACCAGCAGGTGACTGTTGAGGAGACCGAGGTCCAGAGAGGTTCAGGGACTTGCCCAAAGTTTATGCCTCATGGTGGTCACAGATCGGGAATTAGAATTGTTTTCCTGCATGCTGGCTACATTTTTATAAGAATTTGAAGAAAATAGTAATTACACAATCAGGGATCTTGCACTCAGAAATAGTCACGAGATGAGTATAGAGGAGCTCATTTATTTGTAATAGGAGATAATTATGACCAATATAATTCTCAATAGAGGATTGATTATTTAAAGCAATAGTTTTTAAACTGAAGTCACAATCTTATTAGTGTAATATGCTAATTAGACCAGTCATCCTTCTGGATGTCCTTCCAGACCACGCCAGGGCTTCGAGGGAAGCCTGGGTCCTGGGCGCCAGAAGGAAGCCGGTGCTGGCAGCCAGGGGGAAGGAAGGCCTACTATTGCACAAATTTTGTGCATCAGGCCTATTGTATTATAATTAATATCAGCTAATGGATGACTGAATGAGATAGTTATGATGTGCATAAATCTCCAAGAGTAAGTTGCAGGACGTTATGTTCAGTTTGGAACTATTTATATGTCAACTACACACACAGCAACTAAACAACCTATTTCTTTATGGGAGTAAGTGAATCTGGAAGGACGTACTGTAAATATAGCAGTGGTTTACCTCCAGGGAGGGGCCTGAGACTAAGAATGTGTGTGTGTGTGTGTTAGGGGTGGCAATCTTGTGAAAGGCTTTACACTCTAATTTGTGAAGGGTTTTATCACTCTATTGTTGGAGAATTTTGCATCTAGAATGTGATCATATGTCTCTTGTTGAATTAAAAATAGATTTTAAGTAATAAATTATTGCAGAAGAGAGTAGCAGATCATTATGAGCTGATGTACTGAAATGAGCCATTGATAAGTAAATAAAGGAAGTGTGGCAAATACATATAGTGTAATTCCATCTATTTTTACTTTAAAATTTTTCACAGATGTGTATATGTCTGGAAGGATTCTGTCAATAGAAATGATCTCTGGGGATGGGATTAGAGAGAAAGTGCTTGGGGGAGATTTTAACTTTTTATTCTATGCACTGTTTCTTAGAGGGAAAGTTGATGTCATAGTAGAATCGGGGCAAACCCTGGACACATACCAGGTTCCTAGTCTCTAAATTGATTATATGTAAGAATGTCCATGCTCACCTCCTAGTTGTTGCAACATCACAGTCCTTTTCCAGCTTACCAAAATAGTCTACTCAGAAGAACTGGGGCCTTGTTTTCCTGGTCTCAAGAAAAGTGGAAGAACTTAAATCAATCAATGCGAATTATAGTCTTGAATTTTTTAAAAAAACTAGTGGCCCGGTGCACGAAATCCTTGCACGTTAAAAGGGAACTAGAGGAAATATTTTAATATTGCTATTTGCCCTTTCTCTGTAATAGAAGTGTCAGAGATGAAAGAAAATTAGTAAAATGTGTATGAAAATCTTCTTCCTGTCAGAGTCTGGGGCACTCCGTGGGACCCAGAGTCAAGTCCCTGCCCACCCATGTGCACCTCAAAATCACGCGAGACCCAGACCCGGATGGCCCCACCCCCACTGGGCAAGATCCAGACCCAGCCAGCCCCACCCCCGTCAAGCCCCGCCAGGCTAGGGGCGCAGTTTCAGGTCCCCTGGTCCGGCGCCGGGTATGGGGCACAGCCTCAGGGCCCCCGTCAAGCCCCACTGGGTGGGGGGCACAGCCTCAGGTCCCCCAGCACAGCCTCAGGTCCCCTGGCCTGGTGCTGGGGCGGGGGTGCGGCCTGAGGTCCCCCATCAAGCCCTGCCGGGTGGGGGGACACGGCCTCAGGTCCCTGCTGATTGCTCATTATGGCTCGTTACAGGAACCCTGACTCTGCTGTGGGCGCAGCCATCTTGTGTTACAGGAACCCTGCCTCCACTGTGGGTGCAGCCATCTTGTGGTGGTGTGATGGAGTGAGGGTCAATTTGCATATCACCTCTTTATTATATAGGATATTATGAAATATTTTATATGTGACGAATTATTTCATGCTTGAAGAATTTTATTACAAACATACACATCCCCACCACCCAGCATAAGAAATGAAATATTATCATTGAAACCTCCTGTGTACTCCTCCTCAATTGCACATCTCTCCCCTCTATCATCAAAGTAACCACTAATCATAAATTGCTATTTTTCATCCCCTTACATTTCTATATACTTATACTACACGTATATATCTCTCTAAGTAACATATAGTATTTTGCATATTTTGAATTTTCTATAAATGGTATTGAAGTGCACAAATTCCTATGTAACTTGCTTCACCTAACATATAATAAAATTCATCCTGTCATTATGTGTAGCTCCATTAATCTCCACTGCTTTATAGTATGCCTTTTTATAAGTATGCCACAATTCATTCATTCTCCTACTGTTAATCATTCAAGTTTTTTCCCAGTTTTTTGCTATTACAAACAAGCATGTCAAACTCAAAGGCTAACATGGGCCAAATAAACAAGATTTAAGTTTATGTGGGCTGTAATAAAACAAAAGCTTCAATTGTCATAAAAATGTAGGTTTATTTCGATGGAGACATGCTGAATACAATGGGCTGAAATAAACGAGTAATCGTTAACAAATAATAGAACATTTTGCCCTGGCTGGTTTGGCTCAGTGGATAGAGCATCAGCCTGTGGACTGAAGGGTCCGGGTTTGATTCTGGTCAGGGGCACATGCCTGGGTTGCGGGCTTGATCCCCAGTGGGGGATGTGCAGGAGGCAGCCGGTCAGTGATTCTCTCTCATCATTGATGTTTCTGTCTCTCTCTTCCTCTCTGAAATCAACAAAGATATCTCTGTATATAAAATATATATAGCTAATATGCAAAGTGTCCCTGCGGGAGTTCAACTGGGAGACTGGGAGTTCGATTGCTCACTATGATGTGTGCTGACCACTAGGGTGTGGTGCGGAATGAAGGAAGGCCCTGGCCTGCAGCCGGCAGCCAGGGAAGGGAGGCCCTGGCTGGCAATCAGAAGGAAGGCCCCAGCTGGCAGCCAGAAGGCCCCAATTGGCCCTGATCGCTGGCCAGGCCTAGGGACCCTACCTGTGCACGAATTTCATGCACCAGGCCTCTAATATATATAAAATAGAACATTTTAATAAAAATTAATATATATACACACATATATATTTTATGTCAGAGAGGAATGAAGAGGGAGAGAGAGATAGAAACATCCATGATGAGAGAGAATCATGGATCGGCTGCCTCCTGCAAGTCCCCCACTAGGGATTGAGCCCGCAACCCGGACATGTGCCCTTGACCGGAATCGAACCTGGGACCTTTCAATTCACAGGCCGACACTCTATCCACTGAGCCAAACCGGCTAGGGCTTAATATTTTTTCTTGAACGTTAACTTACCAGACACTGAATAAATGCACAAATTAATAAGAATAATGCAGGTTTTGGGTTTTTTTGTTCTCCGAAAGTGAAATATTTCCTGTTGCGCACACCAAACAAGTCAGTCAAAGACTAATGATGTGGCAATCGGCTGCTAAAATATTTGCTGCTAGTATTAGTGGAGAGAAATGGTGCACAGTAAGGCATGTAAGGGAAATGAATGCAACACGATTATAGCAATCAGTCATTAGCGAACGTTGTAGTTTGTTATTAATAATTATGTATAACAGGATATTATAAAAATAAAGTTACAAAATTTTTATTAAAACCTTTCTTACATACCATTATATAGGCTGGGCCACAAAAATATTGGTTGTGGGCTGCATGCAGCCCGCGGGCCGCGAGTTTGACATACTTGTTGTACATGTTTTCTTGTGTATTTGTGGGAGAATCTTTGTAGGTATAAACTTGGAAGTGGAATAGCTGAGTGTTGGGGTCCTGCCCCATCAGGTCCAGGGGTTCCCAAAGGTGTGGACGGAGTCAGCGAAGGAATGACATGGAGACAGCGTTCAGTTGATCAGTTCTCTTTTTTATTGTCCTGTTACATCTATATTTATACTATTTGATCCCATAAGCATGCCTCTATAATTACATCATGGTATGTTTTGGGTAACGTTCTACAGTTCCTTGTTTCTTATCTGACCTTTGCCAAAAATCCTGTCTCTAGTTCTGTTGATTTTAATCTTGTCTAGGTTAATCTCTGTGTTCCATTACAAGGGCTATTCCAAGGTCACTGCTCTACTGATAGGCTACAAGGAAGTGACTGAAGGAGATTATTCTACCCAGTAAAGATTATGTCCTCCCAGCCTCACTGCTTGCCTTCCCTGGGACTGCCCTGTGTCGGTGGATCTCCAGGAGTATAGGCTTTGGTGCTTTCCCTGGTAGGCAGACCCCTGGGGATGTGGGCCCAACAAGTCCCAAATTTATTGCCAACAGTCTTAGTCCAAGTTCTTCATAAGTAGTACATGGTATTTCTGTAACACTAGGGAGATTTACTGATTTATTCTCTTCCTTAGTCCTGTTAATCCCTAACCTGGGGAAACAACCTTTCTCAGGGAGGTGGTCCTGTTTAAAACACATAGCACTAAGAGGGGGAGCAAACATATGTCATATACGCCAGGTCCCTTGAAACATAAGCTGTGCAGATGTTTCTTCCCTGCAGCGACTATGTCAAGCAGCAAGGGTGGACCGGCTTCCGGCAGCTGAATCATGGGGTATCTGCATCTTCAAGTTTACTAGATACTGCCAAACTATTTTACAAAATGTTTCGGCCAATTTACATTTCCAGTAATGCACATGCATGGCCTTGCTCCAAACCCTTGCCAACTCTTGGTATT